GGGGGGGCGGGGGGGGGCGGGGGAGGAAGGCCGGGGCCGAGGCGGAGCTTTGACGCGGGCCGGAGGGTGAGGAGCTCGCCGGTGCCGCCCCTGTCGTCAGTGCTGGCGGCAAGTGCTGGGAGCCGGGGCTGGTGGTGCCTCCTCCTTCTCCTCCTTCCTCTCCTCCTCCTCCATTGTATAATGCTGCGTGATCGCAGCCGCCGGGGCAGAGCTGAGGCTTAAATCCTCACGCCGCCTGCTCCTGCCTCCTCCTCCTCCTCTTTTCCTCCTCCTCCTTTCCTCCTCCTCCGCATCCCACCCGGCCCCTCCCCGGAGCGGCGCGGCGAGGAGCGACATATGGAGCTGCTCTAGGGCGAGAGTTTCCGACCTCCCCCTCTCCATGCTTTAGTTCTCAGGTGGAGCTGCATGTGGTGAGTGGGGCTGGGGGGCTGCGGGGCGTCGGGGGGGAGGCAGGGGGCGGCGACAGTCCCCCACCCCCTCTGGCTTTGCGAGTCATCGGGGCTTGTTTTATCCCTACCTTTAAATTGGTGCCCGGGCAGAGGAGCCCGGGGCGGGGATCCTCCCCCTCTCGTCCGGGGGGGGAGGGAGGGATTCGTGCTGAGATGAACAGAGGAGGGAGAGCGGCGGAGTTGACCTTAAAATACGCCCCCTCCCCCGCCGATGCGGGGGGATCCCGAGCCGAAGCAGGTGCGGGTAGCTGGAATATACTTTTTTATCGAGGTGGCTGTGCTGGCCCCGGTCGTGCGGCCGGTTGTGCTCTCCGGAGCCGGGCTCCCTCCGACGCCAGGAAAGCCGCGCCACCCCGGTAAGTTCGCGTGTGCGCCGGGGAGCCCCTGGAGCCGGGGCTGCATCCTGGCTCCGTTCTCCCAGCGAGAGCGAGGGCTTCGGGGAACCCCGAAAAGTGCATGCCGTAGTGCCGGGAGAGCTAAAAGGGCCTGGGGGAGACTTTCACTCCGCTGTAGCAAAGCTGACATATGGCTGGGCAGGACCCGGCTGGCCCCGCTGCCTGGCCCTTTTCAGGGGTTGGTGTTAGGGCAGGGGATTAGCCTGTCTTTTCCCTGAGCAATAGCGCGCATGGGTCTTCCTTGGGAGCACCGCCAGCACGGAGGGACAGGCGTCTGGGGGGGATTTTGTGAGTAAGGTAGTTCATCTTTTGGAAGTGACGGCAAAAACGTATATTTATTAGGATTTTCTTCGGGGTGGATGAACGCTTGAAAAAAAATCCTTTTGCGGTGCCACTTTGATTTAGAGCGTTGGCAGCTTTACTCACATCAGGATCTGGAAAAATAAGTTCTTCCTAAGCATGAAAATAGGAGTACAGTTACCTGCTGTAATTTCTTGCATTTTGTGAAACAAAGCTGGAAATCCCAGGGCCACTTTAGTTGGAAATCTATGGAGGGGCTTGTGTGCTGTCCAGTGGGCCCCTTGGTGGCGGATTTCCAGCTGTGGGTCAGCTGCTGGTGTAAAATAAAGCGAATTTTCCCATTTTATCTCCATCGGGGAGGGGGGCCGTGTCAGCTTCTTTACCCGAACTTCAGTGCAGCACGCCAGAGCTGTTGCGTGTGGCGGCGTGTGCTCAGACAGATCCAAGGCTCTCGGGAGCAGGGAAATCCAGGCTTTTTCATCTGCTGCCTGGTGCAGTCATCAGGGTGACTCTCGCTGCCGTCAGTGGGTGCTGGATTTGGCCACTCTAGAATTATTGCTCAAACGGGTGGGAGAGGGCTTGGCTGCCCTGAACACCAGTTTTGTGCTTGTGCTCAAATGAGTGAACACTTCTTATGTGTGTGAATTCAAACAATGCTTTCTACTTTTTCTAATTCAGATAATTTTAGGCATGCATCTGCACAAGTGAAGGTTCCTGTGTCCTTATGGACTTCTCACAGGGTATACAAAATTGACAGAGGCGCCTCAGTTTGCATCTAAGGGCACAGGAAGCTTTCACATGGTAAAACAAACTATAAAAATGAATTGTGTTTTCTTTAAAATGATTGCTATAGAAATTAGCCAACTGATTTAGCAGGGTAAATTGAAAGTAGCCCTTTCTGGCTGAAGTTAAAGTACATGCATTTTTACATAATAGGATGGTATCTTTGGGCTCTGATTTAACATGATGACCTAGGGGTGGTGGTAGAGGCAGGAGGAGGATTAGGAGTTTGTGCTGCTGGACAGGTATCTGAGAGCATGTCCTTCGGAATACTTCCATTGTTCAGGCAAGTATTGCAGCATCCAGTGTAACAGCTCCAAATATTCCTCCTCTCATGACTGATCCTGCTTCCATTTAAGTTGGTAGCAGCAATCACCCACTCATTCTCTGCAGGAACTGGATTGGACTGCTAAGGAACGAAGCTAGACTTTGTGCATATTAAAACACTGCTTTGATTTTTGTGTCAAGCTCATTTCTTTTTCTCTGAAGTTGATTGAAAACAAACAAAAAGAAACTTGATAGCCATAGGTCCTTCAGGTTTTGTCTGTAGATGAAGCAGCCTTAAAGAGCATTAAATACATCTGTAGGTGCTGATTTATTAAGAGTTGTAATTGTGTTCCTTTATACACCTGCTCTTTTTAATGGGAAAGATGAAATAGTTTCACAGGGGAAATAATAACATAAATATACCAAGTGCTCAGATTGTCTGCCTGAGAGGCATCAAGGACTTTGAGATAATGTCCTAATAGCAAGGAAACACTCAAACTTCATATTCAAAATTTATTTTTTTAGCTTCCATGAAGTACAGCAGGTTTTGTGCAGTATCTAGTTTGAAGGATTTTGCCATCATTCACACAAGCTGCTTTTATTTTTTCAATAAATATTTCATTGGGAAAACATTTTTTTTAGGAACTCTGACTTTCTTCACACTGATGTAAAGCACTCCTGGCACAGTTTATCTCTGGCAGTGCTAACACTAGACAGGTGATCCAAAGTATTTGTGACTATTTTTGCTTTTATGTAACATCTTAAAGTGTAATCTGTCAAACAAGGAGAATGCAGTACTTTGAAAGTGCAAGTAGTCTTCTCGTGATCTATTTCTTATAAGGACCAGGTAGCAAGAGAGGCACCTTCTTTTAACTCAGTTCTTTAGTGTAACTGGCTCACAAGGAGACAGCTCCAGTTGCAGTGGTTCCTTAACATGCACACGAATCAGTGCCAGAAATAGCAGCTTTCAGTTACCAAGTCCAAAGATCAGGAGTGTTTCAAAGGAGAGAGCAAGGTCCAGCTTCAATGTAAGCAGGTTGGCACTAAGCACAGATCTTTAGTCTTGATGAATCTTTTGCTAATTAATGGTTTGTGGAAGATGAAATTTGTCAATCTGAGCACAGCACTCATTTTCTTCAGGGGTATATAATTGCATGTTTTCTGCCACTTCTTTTGATTTCTAAACTTTTCATCAGTCAGAGAAACTGCTGTCACAAAGAGGTGCCTGTTTTCTATAAATGGAGAGACTCTCAACATGTGTTAGTTCTTTTATTCTTTTATAAACAGAGTCAATTTTTGTGTTTGCTGTAGTGGAGGCTTCAGGTTTGTTCAGCATTACCAATGCAAACACTATAACAAAAATAAGATAACAATGCTTGGCTGTTCAACACGAGTGAGGAAGGCAAGGCCTGTAAATGCCATGCTAACATTGCTCTTGGGTGTGCTGAAGTGAAGCCCAAACTGAGGTCCAAAGCAAATGTGTGGCTGAGAGGCAGCAGAGGTTTAGTGGGAGAAAAAGTCTCGTGTGTGTCACAGCGGGGTCCCTGCCCTGTCTCTTGGCTGTGTGGGTGTTAAACTGTGTGTCACTGTGCAGGGCAGAAACTGTGCTGCCACCATGTTTGCCTCACCGATGGCTCCTGGTGAACATGTCAGATGCTGGGTGTCATTGATTGCCAAGTGGCAGGGAGGAGCTGTGAAGATGTGCTGGCTGGGACATTCCTCTGGCGAAAAGGGGATTTTCAGGGTGGGGGAGACGTGATTCGAGGGGCATTTCCAAGGGAGAGTTGGGGCAGTCTCCAGGGGTGTTGGGTGCAGCCTTATCGGCCTTCAGAAAGGGCTCTAAGCTGTGACTAGGAGTGGGAAGGCTTCAAAGGGCCGAAGGAAATGTCAAGTCACCAGAGAGCAAGCTTTTGGTTTTCATGTGTCCTTTCTTTGAGGGCGGAGGCTCATCTAGCTCAGTTGAGACAGCAGCCACCACCAAATCAGAGTGACACTGGATTCAGGCTGCTGCAGCGAAATTAAAACCCTGCTCAGAGCCCTCTGTTAGGTGAGGTCAGACCACTGTTCTTCAAATGAGGGGCCAAGTTTGGTACACTCCTGTGCTGGTTAAGTCACTACACCTCTTCAGCTTGGTACATAAAATCAGAGATGTTGCCATAGAACGTCTGAAGTTCCCAGCCTGTATAACATGATCAGTGTTTTGAGTACCAGCGATTTTAAAGACAAATTTCTCCTTAATATCACTCTGGAACTGAGTTTTATGGGGCATTGAATGACATGAGTCTCAGCCTGTGTAATTATTAGGAGCCAAAACCTGTTTGCTTTCACACCAGTAAGGTGTGTTGGATTTCATCTGACAGTTTGTTTCCAGTGAAGTTAGAATAAAAATTGAATTCTTAATATGGTAGAATACAGAGACAAAAGTTCTAACATGGGTTGTTTTCTTTTAATGTTATTTTGACAACTGGGCAGCTTATGGAAGTAGCAGAAAAAAGAAGTTCCCTTTTTCAAGGAGCCCTGAAGTGGTGGAAAGATCTAAACTTGCCCTAATACTTCCTCAGATGTAACAACTAAAACTGTTTTTTTGATGCCAGATTTTCCACCCCACCCCAGAAACCCTTATACTGTTTGAACTGCGCTCACCTTTGATGGAAATGTGACAATTATTGGCTGTTTTCAAACCATTTCTTATAGTAGCCTGTAACATCAGTCTTAAGAAACGCTCCTGTCGTGCCAGGCAGGCAATAAGGTTGAGTGAACTGCGCTATAGCAAGAACCACCCTTGATTGGAGGTAAACTATGCGGATATATGTTGGGGTGGAGGTTGAAAGGAGCGTGGAGGGCATATTTGAAGCAGACTGTGCAACTGCTATAGCAGGTCTGACTAGTTTGAGATGCCTAAAGGCAGCTTTGTCTTAACTTCAGGTAGCTGCAAAATGAAGTTTTAAATCCTAATTCAGAAATACATCATCATCATCTTCCGGTGCCTCCGCAAACTTTACTTTTCATGTGTTTTTACAGGCGTTCTTTCTCCCTTGGAAAAAAGCCTTTCGTAGGTACCCATCCACGTGCATGCATATCATTTGCATATTTTTCAAATATACATTTCATCAAGATAGGAGACCAGCGTTTGTGTGCAAACCACAGTGTTTTCTTTGAACAGCAGTGGTTACATTTTGCTTTCTCACTGCTCTGTGGGCCTTGTGTGAGACAAGCCAC